TTTTCAGTCGTTCACCAAATCATGGCAATCCGTCATAAAACTACCAAAAATCAACAAATCCATTATCATCATTTTTCCTATTTTTCATTTAACATCATTTCATCCCCATACACATTGGTATAAGTGATATACATAGATATATGATGCCTCATTGCAGATGCAATTACACAATAACTAAGATATTACCAATGTCCTTTCCTAGGATTTCAATAAACGAGGCCAGGAATAACAACACACATGGTTTCAGCCAATCGACAGGAAGCCTCGCACTTACGTTTCATGCTATTTAGCACTCTTCATCATGGAGTGCCCGCCCACTGCCTCATCCAACTAACGTCTATCAAAATACACTGCATTGGTGGATCTACTGCCTCGGCGAAATGATTGATGGAATTCGATTAGCTATCAGGACTAGTCAACATAAAATTGATTTCCCTCCAACGACCAGTCAGTGTACCTAATGCAGTCCTACTGAGAGTCAACCTCATTCCGGATAGCTCAGTGGCAAAGTCCCTGATTACAACCCTGGGTAATGTGGGTTCAGATTTCAGGCAGGATATCGGTTCCATTGAGGCTAAACATGGGCTTTGCTGACGAGTCCTAACAACCTTGAGAGACTGATTCAAGCCTTCCTCAAAATTGCCTTCATTCAACTAGTACATTTAGGCAAGTTTCAACCATATTAAATGTCAACATCTTACTCAATGTTCAGTTTTTTATGATCCAATTTGTTTTGATCATAGTTCATGACCATGAATTAGATCCCTATTTACACATATTCTTCAACCAATCAATTCACCTGAAAGTGAGAGTTGTTTAGTGACCAACTTCTTGAATAAACCCCTTGAACATCAACCTAAAAACTATAAATCAACAGAGTCAAATAGCAACTCCACACATTATTGTGTATATACAGGGTCTAATAGATAAGTTTAAAAGTCAGACTGAATGATTTCTTATCATATTATTTCGCATGATTAGTTGAGAATGACAGGTCTAAATCAATCCAACTGAAGAGATTCTCAGTAGTCTGTCAATGAATCAATAATAAGGTACATCCAAAAGCTAAACAGCATTTTTACGCTCATCCAATCAAAAACCCACAAATAAACAGACTCAAAATGTCATACCTTTTGTAGCAAAGCAATAATGACAACAATTTCTGAAGGAATGCAATAGAAAAATGTAGATATGCTGACATAGATCACAATGGTTAGCAACGTCTCTTCATTCGCTGGTAATTGCTCTATGGTAAATCACAAACAGCATTATAACTAGGCCGTTTAGTTATCAAAGTTAACCAGGAACAAATGTCTGAGAATATGGAGTGGCTTTAAAGGCCACCATAGCAACATCTAAAATATCCATGAGCTTTCTTTTATCCTATGATAGAACCACTGTTTAGACATAAAATAAACGAGTTTAACTGGTTTTTGACTTGTTTCTTCATCGTTCCACTTAAAGATATCAACAGAATCAGCTGCACTACCAGAGGAAAGCTAAAATATGCTGACCAGAAAAAGAAAGATGAATTATCCACTGAAAGCATAGGAATAGACAAAAATGACATTAGCAGAGAAGAAAACCATTTCCCTTCCAATTAAGTCATTCACTAACCTGCGCATACGTCAATAAATGTTACCGTGGGTAGAAGATTCAAGAATTATTTCCGGTCAGGGGTCAAAATATAGTGAATAACGAAAGGAAGTGAAGTGATACAAATTAAGGTTTCGAGTAAGGAAATAAACAAGGGATTATGAAAATAAAGGTATAGTCATTTGATACAGGAATTAACCATAACGATCAAGACTTTATGATTCCCATGGCAAAGACAAAAATTAGATGTAATTTTTCGGACACAGTGTTTGGTTGGACTTCCTAATTGTTAGTGCTTAAGTTGTCCTGATGTTATTTTCTTTGAGTGTTTTGATCAGACTCTGTACAGAACTTTAAATCAAGTCTCCAGAGGAGCTGAGTCACCTGAGTTCACAAGGTGTTCTGTTATCAGGCCGCAGATGCATCACCCACATATCTATCAAATTCCATGTAATGACTCTGAGGTCAAGTACATAGGTCAAAGTAGCCAGTCGGGGTCAGTAAGAATAGTCGAACATGGGAATTTAGCTAAATGTAGAATGACAGACCCGAGTATGATCAATAATCTGAAAAAAAGACACGGCAGTTGCATTGCATGCATTAACACACAACCATAACAATAGGGTGGGACAAAGCCACTATACTTAGGTCCAATATAAATAGGTGGGGAGAGAGATATTCATTACTGAATCTTTGTTCATAGAATCAACACGCAACACATGTAATAGAAATGATGCAACACCTATACCAGAGATATGGAAGATTTTACTACCAATAAAAACAAATCATATGAGGTGACAGAACTATAAAAATCAAATGTTGAAAATTGTGTGATTATTTGATATGATTATGAACAATAGTAGTTTATGCTCGAAACGTCATCAAGTAAATAATACTGTATCACACTGTATGTTATAAATTAAATAAACAGATCCAATTTTGAATTAAATTCCACCACAGTGACCAAGTTTAACACTTATACTATTTGACGTTCTTTCATCCGCTTGTGCTGTTTAAAACATTGCAGAGATGACCTTCGCAATTGTGACGACTTCAGTTGAAATCATCACAAAACATGTTTATCAATCTTTCGTCTTCTTTGTAATCGTTGGCTTATATCACATTTGAATGAAAAATACTTCTGAATACCATAAGTTGACTGTAAATGCCATTTCTGTAACTACTGGAAACACTGAACAAAACGTTTCTTGCACGAGAAAATGATTCAAAGGTTGATGTCAAAGTATGTCCTACTAAAGGATTTTGAAAGTCCTTTCTTAATAACTTCTGCAGCAATGGCACCTTTAATTCCAAAATTCTCCCAAAGAATCTTTCTCGGCACTAAATATCTTCTATTTACGCTTATCCCATCAGAATGGCAAAATGTATTTTCTAGTTTATAGTAGGATATAACCATATTGGTTTTTAAAGAATATTGTATCCAGATATTCTCAATCACAGGTAACAACTGACGGTGAAAAAACAAGTTCGCAAATTGTGTGCAGCGATTTAGTATTTTCAGTGAACATTGAAAATAATGTTGGATAAAAAACGTATGAACAATATCAATCCGAAATCTGTAAATATCTCATTCAAGTTATTATTTAAAGACGAAACTGTATCATCTAGTCAAGTGAAATCAATAGATGATTCTCTTTTCTTTTCTAAATCACAATTCCTGTTGATAATGAACACAAATACCTTAACATGGCCACCTCAATAAAACAACACTCAAGGTCATGACAACACACATTATACTCAGAAGACCGCAGAAATAACTAACTAGTTGGTTAGAATAACCAAAACAGAAAACCTCATTGGAAATCAACATGAATCAAGCAAGTATGCCTCTCTCTGTTTTAAAAATAAAATATAACACAACTAATAAAAAATTCCTTCTTAATTACACACTCGTTGTATCAATGATAAATTCAGACAAATAGTGAATAACAATAATATAAAATAAAATGACTATATGAAACAAAAGAAATGAAATATTGAGGAGTATTGGATACCATACAAAAGCAATAGAGAAAACGAAATATTCCAAATCATAGTCAACAGCAATATGTGATCACATATAAAATTCTAGATCTTTTTCATACTCATAAGAAGTTCTATCTTACTAGTCTTCTCACTTTTGTCTTGTTACCTTTCATTGAAGAAGTTCAAGTTATATCGCTGACATTCATCTACAAATGAAGGTTGTCTAAGTTTTCGACATCAGAATCAGTTAAACATTCTATACCAATACTTCGTCAACTCTTTGATAATGATCCACATCAACTGTTTCCAATTGCTTCCTTCTTCAAGGATATAAATGTTTCACCAACAAAAGTTATCATTTATAGCAACTAAGAAATAATCATGTAATGCTGATATACCAAGGCAAGGTAATAAGACAAATATATATTTTGTTCCATATTGTATCCCTATTCCTACAGACAGTTTCCTTCTTCATTTGAGATAGTGACTTGAGGTATCAGTAAAGAATACGCTGTGTATTTATGCTCAAATCTTGAGCTACCAAAATATTCTCCACCGACTAGATTTCATCAACTTCTTCCCTTTGTATTCATTTTATTCTTTTTTTAAATACATGACATCTAAGCGTAGATTATACTCTTGCATATTTTAAATAAAAGTTACCAAGCTGTCATTTATTAAAGCTAACAGCAAAAAATAGAGAAAACGTATTACACCGAATGGTAATAAACTTAGAAATGCACAGAAATACACCATAATACTATTCCAAGGAACTGCAAATTCTTCTACGGGCTATATGACCTACTACCATCAAAATTACTCTCAATTTTCCAAACCACATGCTAATGTAACACCAGCTGCCTCTTTCATACTATCCACTTTAACACTCTTGTTATTCCCATGCAATAAATATATCGTTTTAAAATATTGTACACAAAGTCAAGTTATTGAAATAATATCATATGCTGCATCACAAATGTTGTTTACAATAAGGCATTCATTACTATTATTATTAATATTACTATTATATCTGCTTCAATCTTCTTCAACTCCATTTCATCATCCCATCATCAACAATATTCATCTGATCGTGTCAACTAACCAAGTAATGATGCATGAATATGCAGATAACAAAGTTATGACAATAAACTTTCAGACGTGTTCACTTTATTACAAATGTATAATAATCACAGTTTTGTAGGGCATCATTTATAACAGGGCAAACAGCTATTGATACAAGACGTCTGATGAATGAGGTAGACAACATTCAATACAACGTCCATATATATAATAATAACAACTGTTACTTGCATAGAGATTGGAACAAGATTAAAAAAGAACAGATATGGTAAAATACAATGATTTCCATAGAGTAATATAAAACTTGTGAGTTTTATCAAAAACTAAACAAAACAGGGTGATAATGGAAAAAGTAAACAAGGGAATAAAATTGCAAGACTCAAGAGACTAAACTCCATCTTTCTTGCCCTGTTGGTCAGTCCAGACATCTTTTGAAAAGAACGGTAGAAGAGAAGAGCATATTACACCTTTGTATAATTCCTGTTTTATTGTTTACATGTCCCACACTTATCCAAGGAATATGTACATACATGGTAGAAACAAGTGGAATGACAACGGCGCGATGGCAACAACAACAACAACAATAAACGACATGGAATTGATTAAAGGACAGTTGGCAGTTTCTTTCCTTCCGATTTCTTTTCTTACCAGTATCAATCACATTCAACTGGATGGGACAATTCGAAGAAGTTTTTGTAAACCCACTGTAAAGCTCTCTGAAATGAAGGAAAAAAAGGTTGGAAAGAGAGGAATACTCTAGTCACTTTCTTGTAATTTACTGAAATCAGCATCATCAAGTCATAAAGTGTCTTCTATGTTCTCTCTCACAAATACACCAAGTTTCTCACTCATGGAAATTTGAACTTCACTACTGAATAAAATTCATTCCTCAATCTAGGTGAAGCATCCATGAAGCGTTCAAAACTGTACAAGGGAACTCAATAACGCTCAGTGATAGGCGATGCACTGATATGAGGTGTGGCAACTCGGACCGTTACGCAGTAACGCCTAGTCCTAGGTTGATTTCGATGCATGCATGGATGGAACGATGGAAATACAATAGCAGACCATTATATTATGTATGGTCAACGACACACCATACGCCGTGGAAATCTGGAGAGAAGTGTAAAACTATCTACTCCCTGCGACATATAGTGGCATTCACCTTGGCATTTCCCAAGTATATTAAATAACTGCTGAAAAAACCAAAATGAAAACCAAGAAACACTCTTCAACAGTAAGGCTTAAACCTAGAGAAGGGTTTATTTTTAACCCTATTAACGAAAGCTGTTCCGTTTCGTATTGTGTGCGCTGCAGAAGACTAACATACAGGAAAATAGAGTTATTCACTGTTGTCATGCCCCAATTTTCGATAAAAAATTGTTATCGATCTGAACATTTTTAACGTGTCATTTCCACACCATTTTAACGGTATGACTAGTAGTCTACTTCTGTCCCCATTGTAATGTAAATCGCTAATTGGTTAATCTTTACTCTTACTATGCGAATTTCTCCAATTCCGGACAAGGTCATTTTTCATATGTGTACTTATTCACGTGTTTTGGGATTGATTTTATTATCATATTCTCCGAGTAGCAAACTCTCTCATCCGCCAGCTTCGGTCCTCTCACTATTCGTCCCGGGGTTCCAGTCAGTGGCTACTGCATACTAAGTTAGCTGTCAGCTAAGCGTGCGTATCCTATTATTCGGAATATACAGAACTGTAGTGTTTCGAAAACATAACAGTAGCAACAGGGATGGGATCAAAAATGGACTTTTCGAAACTGGACAAATTTCTGGAACTACGAATGAAGATTATCGAATTATTAACTTAGTCCAGAATTCCTGCAGCTGACTCATCGAATCCTACGCAAGAACCAAATCTAACGTTGAGTGATATCACTGCTGAATGTCAACGATTGGTGAACCTACGACGCGATACAAGCTTAGTCCAACCAGGACGCCAGGGTGATCATGAAGTGCATGCGGTTTGCCTGAATTCAAATTACTCTGCATCCTTATCTCGCCAAAAGACCCCTGGTTCTTCGTCTCCTGTTCGTCATCTCGGCAGCTCATACAATACTAGAAGAAACATGAAGAAGACCCTACCGTCCTCATAAGCAGAATAAAGGCAGAGATTGTAATACTGTGGGTCACAATGATGGATTTTGCAAGCAGTCCCCATCACACAGAACAGACAGGTCACAATCCAGTCACCGTCAAAGATCGAAGTTGAATTTGGTTGTAAGAAGACTCAGGGTGGCTAGATCAAAACGTGCCACCGGTCCATGAAGTCCCTGACTGTTGGTCTATGTCGTATGTGGCGTTGTAGACTGTTTGGTTGGTGTTCACGAGACGGTATGAATCAGTGGTTAAGGACTCTTAGTGAAATGGCTGGGAATCAGTCAATGACGCAGATGTATTCACTCCTTAACATCTCCCAACCATTCAATATTTGTGGTAACCATTATCTTTCGATTGATTGTTCTCTCACACTACTTTGTCTACTTTGAGATCACTCTGCTACTATCCACCTGCTCTTCGTGTACTACTGTGAAGTGAGGCATCTTCAACTGATACATCTGCTGTATGCCAGACTCTACGTGGTCTGTCTGTCTTTCTATCTCTGAAAATCAGTGAATACGATTTTGTGAGAGTAAAAATACAAGTTACATTTCAAAATAAAAAGTAAATAGTATTGAAAAAAGTAGATCAAAAACGGTGAGATATTTTACAGAAGTAAAAATGTTTAAATCAGCATACTCACCCATCGTTTGTTTAAACGATTTCGGTTTATTTGTCCATGCGCAGCCAATTATGTAAACTGGTATACCAGTTAAAATGATTAGAACACCATACACTAAAGGGAAAAAAACAAACACAAAATGAAAGTCCACAAGATTATTTATTCAACAAGAGATAAATAAAAATGTTAAACTTGTCAATTATACTAGACAATGTAGAAGAAAATGGAAAGTGTGATTTCGACGAAAAACAGGAAAACCAACATCCAACCATGCATCCAAGTGCATCAGTCTCACATCTCATACTTCACATGTTTGAAATCTGAAAAAGAATTTCTAGAAGTGTGGCATTCAACAGACATGTAGATATAACCTCAACATATAACCCACATAGCAAGTAAACAGTCGTCCACTAATCAACGCCAAATGGATTGGAAAAACTAAAAATATTCATACACATTCTGACAACAATAAACGGCACAATTTCAATCCAACAAAGAATAGCCGATAACGTGACTGGAGGCCATCAGGGTGTGATAAAAAATTTCTTCCTCAACTTACAAGTGGATAGTATCCAAAGTCAATAAAAAAAAAACACTATCTAAACATCAGTGTAATATTCGAATATCATTCACTTCTTTATGAAGTTAGTACTGAAGACGTCAAGAAGCCTAATGATAAAACGTTCACGACAAACTATCAAAGATCAGAGAACATCAAACTACAAAATGCCAAGACTGTAAGTCTAAGGAAAAGATGAAATTGAATGGAAATATGGAAAAAATTGACAATAGAATGATATAAACATCTCAACGATGACTAATTTCAACAGTATGAAAATATAGCCTATACTCAGATGCATCAAACCTTACACACTTATGAACATCTACCAGCTTGACTAGCAAAAGTAGACACAAAATCGAATAAAAGTGTCATTCTGCCTCTCTATTAGTGGATAATGAATATCAAATTTAGAAAAAAAAAGTACCACACCTTCTCCATAATATAATGAATACCACAAAGTCTGTCAACAAACACATGTAAGCCTCTCTTGTTCACAGATGAAAACATCAGAATTGATGAGACAAAGCTGGATTTCTATGTCCAAAACAAGTACATTCACCATCTCTGTGTGCGTGTGTGTGTGTCTTGATCTTGTGTAGCACCGACACACATTCAATCATCATACAGACAGACTGTTGACCGTTGGCCCTCTCCTTCCTCAGCACCTAAGGATTCTACGAGTACCGAATCGATCATATCACTTAGTGACAGTCGGATAATTCACTAACAAAAATAATCGCAAATTTCACCTCATAACATCTCTATTCATATTCTTACGTCATCCTTTGCTGTCGATATATATCTACACTTGTTGCAGTTCATCACTCTTCATGTCCATTGTTATACAATTAGTGAAATAATAATCTGTTGTAATTTATTTTACACTCCCATAAATCTTATCCCATTACCATATATTTATCATTTGCATGAATTCCTAAATGAAATCCATCTATGCTTCTCTGCTAAAACTGTTGTCCTTGTTATATTTCAAAACATTCCTTGACAATCTTGATTAGGTGATAAATACATTCAACAGATCTATTTCTTTATATTTGTACTCATTTCTTCCATTCCAAGGTCAAGATTATTTATGCTTGAGGTACCAGACAGTCGGTTGTTATGATACGTAGCGGCAAAAACCGTCTTCCTGGCCGCCACTAGGAAAACAATGGTCCCATGTCCACGTTGATTTTGCTGCACTGTTTAACCGTATGCACTTCTTAGTATGTGTTGACACAGATTCTAAATGGCCAGAGATTTTTCCAATGCAGTCTATCACGTTACAGGCAACAGTGAACCAGCTACGTCATCTATTCTGTCGTTTTCGTATTCCTGATGTTCTCGTGTCCGATAATGGGTCACAGTTTACATCGTCAATATCCTCAGATTTCTGTAATCAGTTTGGCATCCGACAGATTCATACCCCTCCATATCACACCCAGTCCAATGCTCAAGCTGAACAGTTCGTTTATACTTTCAAAAGAGCTTTTATGAAGGTGAAGGGGGAGGCGACGATCAACGAAATCTTGGATAACGTTCCCCTACTTTATCGTACAACACAGAATCCGTCTGCACCAAATCACTTATCTCCAGCAAAATTATGTTTGGCAGAAAAGTCAAAATCCTTCTCGATACAATCAAGCCTAAACGAATAAACAAGGGCTGCAGAAACACTAAAATGGAAAGTCAGCTGAATCGTCACCATAAAGCTAAACGTCGAATCTTCACTTTGCATCAGCATGTCTACGTGCATGATCCTCGTTATTCACCTCCAAAATTCACTCGTGGACAGACAGTTCGGCGTAAACGAAATGTTCGATACAAAGTGAATGTAGAAGGACAGATATCAACCAGACACACGAACCACATACTAAGTGAGGTCAACACAGGAGATAAAAGGAAGCAAAACTTCACACCAGAAGTTCTAATGGATACTTTAAATCTTCCGCAGCCACAAGCAACAGATAGGACCCAATTCATCCACACTCCAAGATCAGTTCGATAAACAAGATGACTAGAAAGATTCCAAATACATCCTAGAAAGAAGCCATACAATTTTACAGACAGATGCTAGGTGGTGGCAACAAGCTAAACAATAGAGAAATTGTTTTCGGATCATGATTTATGCATGTACTGACATAATAACCTGACTAGACAAATTCGACGTCATACAACAAATCCAATTGGTTTATTTGTGGTTTCATTTTATGAGGGTTTTGTATATATATATATACCATACATTTGTCTAATAAAGTTGTTGTTCTTGCAGTCACAGGCCAGTCTTTTGTATTCTCATATCTCCGTGGCTCAGTAAAACAGAACCAACTGCGGGAGGCCAGTCGCAACAGCATCCCGTTGAGGTGGCAATTGACTCTCAGTATTGTTATAGCCACGCACGTATTTCTATTCGGTCACAACACTAGTATGGTTGAAAATTATGACCATCAGACTGCTAGATCGATGCTATACAAACTGAACTACCAGACCCAGTCCATGAGGATTTGGTCGGCTTCTACGACCTATGTTTTCGTTCCGACAACAATCCTCATCCCAACCGATAGCTATTACCTTGACATGGTGGTCAGGCTTACATTTCATAATAACCCAACGAGCTATGCTAACGGAACGCCTGTTCTCTTCAGGTTCTGCCGTGCCACAAAAAAACTGGTATTGATCAGACGGAAAGCAGTTAGCGCTGTAGTGCAAATTACTACACTATGATGAAAGTTTCAGGGAAAAGTCGTACTGCTACTAGCTGGATGGGGTTTGACAGCAGTAAGGTGTTTCACGCACGCTTACAATAGGACACAAAACTCATTCAAACATTACCTGTCCATCCAACTATGTCTTCTTACTTGCCTTCGCCTCCTTATACTAACATTGGGATTCTTACAAATTACTCAACCTTTCACTCTGCAATCATTCCCAACGTCAAGACCATAGAAACCTCATTTCTAGTCCCTAAGACCAACCATCATTTTCATGTAGGAGCTTCCAACGTACGAACTCTATGCCAAACCTGACAGCCAGCATCACTCACCAAAACTCTGGAATCTCTAGCCATACAGATGTGCTGTCTCTGAGGCACTTATACAGGACCCGAGTTTGGTCATTAAGTTGACTTCACCAGACCATAATAGTCAATCTTCAACTTAGAAGAATCCGGAGACCAAGTGGCTAGCTCTCGTCGACTCCCTGGTAGAGGCATAGCATTGAGTTGTAGAGCAAAAAATTCACCTCTCAACTTGATACCAGTCAACAACCGTCTGTGTCCCTTCCGACTGAATCGATCTGTAGGGATTAGGAAGGATTGTGAGACTATGCGACACTTATTCGTGGTATCTGCCTATGCACCCACCAACTGTGACTCGAATGATGTTAGGGATGAATTATAAGAAAAACTGTCAATTTTGCTGAAGAAAGTAGAACGTTCAGATGTAATCATAATGGCAGATTACTTCAACGCTCAAATAGGGAAGCTGAGCAAATCAGAAAGGCATCCTGAGGGTATTTACGCAATACCATCCAAACAAACCGACAACCGTGGTCGTCTGCTGCAATTTTGCCCTAACAGTCACCTTTTCCTGGACAGTACTAATTTAAGGCAGGAGGATGTACACTGTCTCACAAGGCCTCCATCGACGTCAAACCAACAATGGACACAGACAGAACACATCATTATAAGCCATCGTTGGAAAGCATTGAGGGAGGATTGCCGTCCACTCTGAAGTATCAGTTTGAACTCAGATCACGAAGTCAAGTCTGAATTTAGGGAAGAGATAGCTAAGCACTAATCTGAACATGACAGCAATGGTTACTCTATGGGGAAACTTGGAGTGATGTAACGTTTTCTGCAGAAACAGGCATAAAGAAAATTGGTAACCCACGCCCAAAGTTTAGCAAACTCCAGTGGATGTTTGCAACATCATCCGAACTGGTTGATGCATGTCGACTGACTCCAGCTGGCTCACACCACGATGAACAAAGAAAGCAACTCAAAAGTAAGTTGACTAGGAGTATTCGGGTTGATGACAAACAGTGGTAAGTGGTGAAGACGAAGTAAACAGAGAAGGCGTCAGCGATGGGTAACACTAGGCAACTATTTAGGCTTCCTAAGGATACAGGCAAGAATAAGACGATAGTGAGTAAAATCATCACCCAAAAGGATGACACTCTGATCAATCCTCAGGATAGGTGGCTCGAACATGGGGCAGAACACTTCGAACCACAGTTCAGCTGGCCCTCACAAACGCTTCACTCGCTCAGCACAGCCCATCCCATCCCGAAATGGGACGTAGATGTCGGTCCTTCAAATCTCCTTGAAGCCGAAAAGGCTGTATCAAAACCGAAATGATGCCAGGCAGCAGAACCTGACAGTTTGGCACCTGAGGTTTTCATGGGTGGAGATACGAAATTGTTAATCAAAGTGACAGACGTTCTCGGACATGTACGTGATTCAGAGGTAGTAACACCACACTGGTCTACTTATCTCATAATCTCAGTCTCTAAGGATGGTAAAAATCTTCTCCTGACAACCATAGGGGAATTACTCTGACTATTGTCAACATAATATTGTGTCCAATATACTAGCCCCCACAGTTATTCCACGCCTAACTGAAGCTCAAGAACAGCAAACTCGAGAAAACCAGGCAGCTTTCGGAAACAGCTGGACAAGGATGCATCGAACATATTTTCATCCTTCAACAGGTTCTGGAACACAGACATACCTACCAGCTAGTGGTCAACACCTGTCATATTTCTTCACCTGGAGGCGGTATTTGAATCAGTCGATCGTGAGGCGTTGTGACGGTATCTGACTGAAAGAAAATAGCCTCAGGCACGTTTGACTTCACGGGATCGATCTACTCCCTGGAGGCTATCTGGATGACTTGGAGTATACAGACGATATTGCCCTACTGGGTAAAGACGCTGATGCAATGATAGGGCTCTCAAACAACTTGAGAAGAAATCTAATTATGTTTGGCATGCGTCGCGGTGGCACTTGTCAAGTGTAAAGTGATGCTCAAGGACTTGTCTGCTGCAACCATTTCCAGTTTAATGATTAGGCGTAGAGTGGTGAAATATGTCGACCACTTTACTTGCGCGGGGGTTGGCATCAACCCGAACAGACAAAATTCCAGCTCAAACACAGAAGGCCCGTCTGGCATTTTCCAGCTTGTATCACTCATGGTACTGACTGAAGTGATACTCGACAATCTATCAAAGGATAAGTAACCTGCACTGTAGTTCGTTCTGCCTTTTAGTATGGGTGTGAAAAATGGTGGTTAAAAGTAGAAAACCTAAAGTGGTTACAGGTGACTGATCATACATGTCTTCACAGCATTGCTCACGTTTGGTCGAATCATCACCATAGAAGCATTGTTGAGGTCAGGAGAAAGGTACTAGGCAAGATAGACAACTCGATTCATGAGGTTGTGAATCTTATTCGATTGACATAGCTTGGACATGTAATGTATATGCCAAACCACCGCCTATCTCAACGTCCCACGCTACAGGAAGTTGGATTTGGTTGCAAGAGGGTTCAGGTTGGTCAGAACGAGACCTGACACCAGTCCATGAAGTCCTAGAATGTCGTCGAATGGGGTCACCGAGACTAAAGGATTCAGTGGCTGAGGACTCTTGCTGACATGCCTCTCATAAATATCATCCACTTTCAATTCAGGGGTTTGTGGGGATTTATTTATTGATTTCAGGTTGGTATTCATCAAGGACTGATATCAGTTGGATGGACACTGGAAACCTGGGAGAACTAGACAACTGTTTCGTCTCCTATGAAACTGCTCAGCAGCGCCCACTCACAGCCATACAATCAATCCGATCCACAACCTGCAGGTTCCACAACCAGCACGTCGACATTGAACCACAGAGTCAGACTTCAATGGTTCACACTTACAACTTCTGTCAATTTAGGATATAGCACCACCACCACCACCACCACCACCGTCCAATGTTGTCGTTGAGTAACTACCACCACATCCGGCTCCATTTGCCCCACAGGTCACAACTTGTCAACAGAACTTCGGAAATTCTCATCTCAAGGTAAGTCAACATCAAACACTAAACAGATATTGAATTTGGAGGTTTGTCATCATTCTCCCGATTGGTATTCATTACAACCATTATCAACATTCTTCAATGGATAGTTTCATTGATATTCATAAAGTATGCCATTTTCCATCAGGTAAATGAAATTCCATCCACCTGCATAATAGTATCTAAATGTTTTTTTATTATTTTGCATCAGTATAATAAGGAATTTTATGCACAAAAACTTCAGTGAATAACTTACATGACTCTTTAGGTGATCCAACAAAAGCGAAAACAATCAGAAATAGGGTTACCAGAACATAGATATATGCAATACAATAGGAACCTATAGTGCAAAAGGCAAACAAAAAACAGTTTTCTTTTCAATGAAATGGATTATCAAAAGTTATATAATTTGGATACTTAAAATACAGACTATTTGATAGAAAGAAAATGAGAGTGTCATCAGCACAAATCATCAGCAGATCTCAGCTGTCAGCTTATACGCATGTGAGAATCCTTGTGTAAACCCTGCATGTAAAACATGTATATTCCCTCCATTCATGTATCTCGGTGCTGTCACACACGTACACCCCAATTAAATAGAATCAATTCTATTTATTCAACCAGATATTCACTAATCAAATCAACTGCAACATCTTTCATTGAAACTTCGGTTAAAATACCGGCTAACCAAGATAATATTTATCAACCATGTTTCTCAATGAATTACAGTTAATAGTCTTGAGTTTATTCTCTTTAAACACTGCACAACCATTTTTCGATTCCTAAAAATGATGCTCCTCAAAAAGAACAAAACCTCAATTCTAAACAATTTATCCACCATTTTGAAGACTGTTTCTCCACAGCTACTCAGTATTAGTCCACGACTACAGATGCTAGTCAGTGATTTTGCCAACCACAATCCCTCTACTGAAAACAAACCTTACTTGGATGAAGATAATCGGCAGAAACTTCTGGACACAGGTTTCATCCTTCTCAGCACTTATCAGTGTGGTATATCTCCAACTTCTACGAAACCAATGTCCCACCTGAGATTCGAACTCGCATCAGCCAGTACAGCAGTCACGGTCATTACTACTCAGTTATTCGGAGCACGATTCACCTCCCATACGACTCGATTAGGTACACTGGTTGGTCACTAGAATGCTTCCCGATGGTCAATCTTCTAGCCTGGTGGCAAAATCGCAAAATCATCAGTAATTTACAGCAGCGCTTAAGAGTCAACAAAATCAAGTTGGTTGCCTTCTACTGAACAATCAATGTAAACAAATCTCTTCCATGTGTTTCAATTGACTTGCTGATGGTCAGTAGTGGAATCCAGGAGGTGGGTTACCTCCTATTCAGGACTCTTCAGCCAGGTGGATGTGCGTCCCAGTGAGTAGTGTGCTCCCACTGAGACTCGTGCCATGCACACAAAAACACTATCCACTAAACCACCGAGGTGCGACAGCCACCTCTTAAGCAATGGATATCACTTATTATCACTGGTTGATGTAATTATATTTCTCCGTTGTCATACTGGATCGAATTGGTCGACCTCTGTTGGCATATGAGTTTAACAGAGGTCATTCAATTCCATCCAGTGTAACAACGGTGAATTATGAGTACAAACAAATAATAATAACTAATACCCGTTGCCATTGTGCCCTTACGACTTAGTGGATTACACTTTGGCGTTTGAAGTTATCGCATGCAGGTTCATCCACCTGATGAGTCACAAATAGGACGAAACGCGTATCCTACATTTCACTGCTAGTCACGACCAAATCGAATATAACAACCAATCTCCAGGCAAGATTGAGGCAACCAAATAGAAGTTTGTAAAATAGTCTCTCAATAAATAAATCCTACTCATGAAAGTAAACATCCAAGTAGTTTGATATCCTTCATCTATCTTACTCAATCATTAAAACCATCTGTCCTCCTGTTTGGAATCACTTCCCTATGATAATTAAGAAGTATGCACAACTAGAAATTATGGTTTGATTACCAGAGTGACAGGAACTAACGTCAGTTTACAAAATACTTTTCATCATCATCAGAAGTTATCCCGACATACATTAGAGTAAGGCAGTTTTAAAGAGTTTCTTCAGTCTCGTAACAGATTACTAGGTAATTTCTACTACTCAACTGTCTTTGTCTCCGTCACACACATGTGCACACACATACACACTTGGATGTGAACCTATCAGATATTGCAATTAGTACATCATCATAATTACCTGGATACTCAATATTTATCTCATGAGAAAGTAAGTTCATTTGATATTCATGCCTTAGACAATTTAGATAAGTCTCAGTGAATGCACTTTGAGAAACAAACAGTGCAATATATATATATATATATATATATATATATATATATATATATATATATATCATTCATGTTTACCTACGGTTTGGTAATGTTATTACTTCAGATTACAACCAAATCAATAGATAAGTGCACTTTATCACAAACTTTAAACTTCATCACCAATCTCAGATATTTCACATTTCAAGTTGACCACTAACACCTTCCACTAACCCTTTGCCGTTATTCTTCTTCAATGAATATTCACTAATTGATCAAATATTATGAATGTCAAAGTACTTTGAACAAACAATGGACTGATTAACTCATCTCTCACATTCAAATTAATTTTACCTATATAATGACTATAAAGTGTTTGCTGTTGTCAGGTGTAGACGTAACCAACTCCACACATTCCTTGACATATGAATTACATTATCACCTTTGTGGAGTGGGGTAGTGAGTTAGTTAGTTATCTGTTGTCAATTAACGACTAGGGTGATATCAGGACAAAAAAGAACCGTTTCGTGTTCATCAAACTAATCTATCCCATTTCAGTTTGTTTATTAGATGTACCACACAATGAAACAGCATTATTTTACTAGATCACAATTCCCACTCAATTTATTATCCAGTCATATCAAGTTAATTCATGACTTCCAGACATCGTCTATATGCTTCAAATTCTCCCTCCACTTTGTGTAGAATCTTCAACATATATATCTGGAACAGGTGCAGAATCATTCCTATTGTATGCATTTCGAGTTGATTCAATAAACAAAGATTCAGTTATCAATCTCTACCTCCATCCAACTAGGTTACATTTGAATACTGTTGCTCTATCCAACCCCATTGAGGGATTAAGTCCTGTCATACGCATAACTATACTCAAACTATTCTTCAGATCCCTTATCTCCCTCCTTACGTCTTAATAATCTTCATTTGGCCAAGTTTCCTTGCTCCGTTATTCCAATTGACCCTGACTAGCTACTTTGAGCCACATATTTGACATCCCAATCATTGCAAAGGATTCAGCAAGCCAAATTAGTTTACCTAATTCGATTAGTATGTTCTTGCATCTTAGTTTGTACCTAAACTAGTTTGTACGTCAAAATTCCATTCATCCCACCCAGCCTTATTGAGAGTTCATCATAACGCTTCCGTAGTCACTTCATTGTATGGCAACAAAGTAAACGTATTCAATTCTCTATCTACCATGTCATCGTTGTTACTAATAGCACACTTATTATTGACATCTGTACTACCACTACTACTACCACTTCCAAGTTCATGCACATCCAGCAGCAATGATTACCCACCTGTCCCAAATACACGGAAAACCACACTACCCACATCACAAGAAACCAAAGTTAACCAGAACCATATAAACCATGTCTCACAGTTGTGGAGTTACCTGATACGACTATGAACAATAAATTGTGTTCGAAACATTATCCAGTAAACGAAATGCTTTCACTGTATGAAATTTCGAATAAACGGACTAAAATGGAATAACAATTCACTACACTGCACACGTTTTACTCCTATATTAAAATAATTTCTCACAGTCAAAAATCATGTTATGTAGAGTATTTGAAAAACGTTCATGGGTATGATCAATAAACAGCAATAATGATGATAATAATAACAAAACCAGAAGTAACTTTTAACAACAAATTTAAACACTAACCTTGACAGGACGTGGAACTTTAGGACGTGTAAATCTAAATATTATCACTATTAAGACGCATAGACCAATAGCAAGCCATTGAACAAATCCCATGTAATTGATAAGAGCGAAAATATCTCCAGAAAGTAAGTAAATCAACGACATAACACACTACACAAATCAAAAAAAAGGTTGATATCACAGTTGGTCAATAGACAAACACACTCAGAGAATATAATTCTCACACGTTATTCTTATAAGAACTGACCTGACTACGACGAATACTTAAATCTCAGTGCTAATAATCAACAATTTTATCCCACAGAAATGTAGTAAACATGTAAGCAAACAATCATCTAGGATGGTGACAGTGGCGCTCATCTGCTGTTCACTCTAAATGGACAAATCCTCACAGCCAAATTGTTTAAACCATTGACTTCCTTTCAACAAATATAGAATACGTAGAAGTAGACAAATAGTTTGCAAAATTCATGCTTTCAGATCAGAAAAGGATTAACTAGTTTATATTCAACTGTACAGCTCCATGACGGTAAAATGTAGAGCGTTAACTCAAGCAAACACGAAACGCAAACCAAGTCGGATATGAAGACAATTACTGAACGATTCAATGGGATGGAGGTTGCAATAAACCACAAACTGATAGAAGTAGGAAATATAGACCATTGGATTCCGACCCAATGACTCAGTGGTAACCTGCTGGCTGCGGAAACTCAACGTTCTGGGTTCGATACAAGGTTGGGTCATGGGTGCGCACTCTGAGCAGTCCAATACCAGGAATAACAGTTGCCCAGTTCTCTCAGTCTTCTGATATTTCTCCAACTGATATCAGTCCATCATCGATACTGACATGGAATCAATAAGTGTTGCTATCATGTATGCAAAAGTATCTACTACAAGACTTCAGATAACTTCCACAGAACTCATTATTACGCAAACGTCTGTCTTGTGGTCATTTGCTGCTTGAAAACAACCAAAAAACTGTACTACTCACAGCACACAAATATACAAAACAAACCCAAAACTTCACACACAAGGAGGTTAGTCAAAACATTCAAGCTTGAGAAAACGTCAAATAGTGAATACACCTACGCCAATGTGACCGATTTCAGCCATGTTACCAACAATCGTCAACCACTGATTCCCACGGTCTTCCGCACCCCAGTCCAGTAGCCTACACCCTTCCTACACAGTTCACATCGACAGTCAGAGACTTCATGAACCGTATCCAGTCATAAAGCAAACATACATTAACCAACTGAAACTGACGAGTAAGTTACATAAAATCCAAGAATGTGTAGATACCTCTCATTCGAAAACCCGACTCACGATGTACATCTGTCTACAGACTTAAGGTTTCCTAACGGATTACGTTTTTGACAAGATTGCAATGAAGATCACTTTCTGGCCTACTGACTGACTCCTCCTAACCCATTCATCCCTCCATTTCATTTACAAACCTCTTCTTGACCAGCAAACACGAGTCAATGACAATCATGTTGAATAATGCAAAACCGAACACAGAAAATTATAAATCACAATGAAAAAAAATCATCGGACTTCAAAGTCAACAATTTTACGTGTCATAGAGGCTTGCATCAAAATCTATTCGGTACTTCCAGTTATCACATATATAACCAAACACGATAATTGATATAATGGTATTAAACACTCACTGTGAATAAAACAGCAGGAATCGGTGTTAACCAGTCAGTATGCAGGTAACTGATGAATGCTGGCATTTGATTAACTTGACTAGCGACAAAAAATATTCTCGATGTCGTCAGTACAGTGCCATTAGCTCCACCGAATGTTGAACAAGCAACAAATATCGGCATTATCCACCACATCACTCCATACATTCTAACTGCGAATGTCTAGAAAACAAATGGAACAGTCAGCACAACTCTATAATCCAACTCTCTAAACTTATTTATGACAATAATTAAAGTGAATTCGATCGTCTCAGCCTGTGAAGATAAGATACGTACTCATGATGAAAAGATTTTTCATTCAGATATATGGTTGGAATATTTACAACTAATAGTACTAAAGCAGCTCGGTATGTTACCGAAGGTTATGCATTCCCCGCTACACAGCACAGAGTTATCACCTGATCCGATCAAAGTCAGCACTGATCCTTCACATTGTCACTTTTACACTTCTTCTTCAACTTAAACATTCGTCGATGAAACTAAATTCACACAACACTACTAACGAGATAGCATTTATCCTGAAGAACTATTATTCAAACTCAACTACACTGAGAAAACTGTCTAACTGAACAGCTTCAATAAAAGTCTGAAAATGTTTGACACACGTTGTTCATCCATCGAATGTGAATTGATGCTGTCGTCATAAGGTAATGCTCCACACGGACACCTCATTCGAAAATAATAAGTCAATTATTTGAGCATATTGATCATCTAAACAGAGTCAGCAGGATAAACACACTTATACTCATTGTTTTATCAATCCTCATAGTAGATGTGCAGTTGTTACAAAACACCTAGGTGCTAATCAAATGGTCAGCATGATCAATAGTACAGTAATACACTGAGATTAACAATCCAACATTAGGATGTAGGTGATGAAGATCGATACCCCTTTCTCTCACATACAGATTATGTTTACCTTAACGCTCATATTATCCTGCCGTTAATTGGACCAAATTGATCGGTCTCTGTTGCCATACGATTCCTGTACGGATACCTCGATATTTCCTGTCATTTCAGTTTCACAGTAATGATACATAGCACCTAGTAGTCGCATCCGGGATGCCCATTCCTTCCTGTTTGGGACTCTTCAGGTAAATTCGAGGCATCCATTCAGAAGCGCATTTCCCAACAGAGAACAATCAACTCAGTTCAATCACTGACACGATAAAACAAGCAACATAAAACGACTCTCATCTCACAAAACGTGGCCCTCGTGACTCAATGGCCTACTTCATAGCACTTTGGCGTTTCAAGTAATCCATCTCCAGTCCCAGTCTTGGCGGGAAAAACATCGCCCACTGAGAGGCACGTACATCTAGATGACTAGGCCCAAATAGAACAAAACAAGCGTCCTGGAACCAACAGTTAGCCAACATCCATCATTACCGTAAATCTCTCTCCATCTGTCCAATCAGCAAACCCATTTTATTATTCTCTCCATGCTACACAAACTGTTACAAATAGTAACACCTTCTCATTAATAAAATAATCGTCAGTAGTCTTAAATACTCTAACCACAATACTTACCACAGCCACTGCTCTTGTGCTGAGAATTTCTGCCACTGGCACAACAGTTGCATAGGCAACATTAGCAAATGTATAAACTGCTGTTACCAGCACACAAGATACAACAATTGCAATAGGCAAATGTTTCTTCGGGTTCTTCATCTCATCAATCATACAATTCAAATAATTCCACCCTGAATAAGCAAACAAACCACTGTAAAATGCATTGGCTATTAATCCAGGACTCCAGTCAGAATCTTCAAATGGTTCTTTAATCCATCATACCGACCTGAACAGATTATCAAGGGAAAATGTTTAGTTAGTGCAACTGAGATAGAAATTGGTGTTTTATGAAGAAACTGTGGTTCAAATTTCCTGTATATTACTCAAAATACCACCAGGCTGCTTAAATTAATATCAGCGAAATTGACTACAATATATGACTGAGTGGTTACAAGGCACATACCAATATCACCAAACCACACTCTCCTATTAACCGAAAACTAACCAACTAGCTAACTCATTACTTGTCATTAATAACTGTACACACACGCACACACACACACACACACACAAAATCAACGTAGGACCTCGCACACAACTGCATCGGTTCGACTTACCACACTTCACAAAAGTACACCAAGAAAAAGTGAATACGAACAGACTAACATCAAAGTAGACAAAAGTGTGTAGAGCCAGAAAAAAAATTTCAAATAAGTCTTAGTCAAGGCATTCAAGCTTCAGCAGAAACCAAAGACTGAATGCACCTAAGCCACTGTCACCGATTTTCAGCCATGTCACCAACAGTCTTCAACCAATGATTCCTACGGTATCGAGGACACCAGCCACATAGTATACATCTCCCTACACAGCTCAGATCAATAGTCAGGGACTTTATCAACTAGTTCCAGGTCTTCGTCCGGTCACTCTGAACCCTCTCCCAACCTGACTCAACTTCCTCTAGCATCACATGCAGAGGTAGACAGTGGATTAGCATGCGCAGCGCACGTCCTACCCACCTCAGTAAACTGTAATTCCTCCTTCTTCCTTGCAGGTTACCCAAATGACCAAATTCTGAGTCGTTCAACTGCAATTGTTCCCGGGTGCACTAAATTACGATGTTGCTTGTCCAGTGATTATCATCGAATTCATTGTCGCTACTCCGAAATACCATTGAATAAATACCCTGAGAATATGATCTATGGCAATATCAAGATATTACTGCATCTCGAATACATACCGATGAGTCAAAAATACAAGCAAATCGGTGACAATCATCACCTATCGATTACACTTAAGCGTAAAACAAAAAATATAATACCCAGAATGTTTTCTGTCAGTGTAGGATTAACAAGCTACAGTTATCGATAGACACGTTTCCATCATAACTAAAGTTTATAATTTCATATTATTTATCATTTAATAGCTATTTCAATTAGAAACCTTCGATACACAAAAAGGTCCTAACAATAAGTAATACGAGCAACATTTAACTTCTTTAGCTGAACTACTGAAATTCCATGACCTGACCATATCTATGTCCTCTACCGATGGCTTGCAAACGCATTCATCAGCTGTAACATCAGTACACCAGGAGTTTTAAATCAAAAACTGTATTTCTAAGGCTATTATAACTATCTTCATCTGAATTACCTAAATGCTCTCTGCTTGATTATCCCTAAACACAATCATATTCAACATCTTCAGTCCATTAACTTCTCAAAATCTTAAGGTCTGCAACACATCACATAGACTAATTTGTCTTAAAACAATGGACACGGAGATTATCTACCGTCATCCACATAACAAAATGGAACAGTCAGCGTAAAGCCCTTGAATATTCACAACCTCTTCTCCAGTTAAACACTTTTGATAATGAAAGGAATTACTATTCACCATGTTTTACATATTACAAGTTGACTGAGAAAAAAATTTATCTCACACAGTTTAAAATTCAAGTCAACACATTCCACTCATAAATTTGTCCAATTTCTATCTAAATGACGTTAATAGGTTGACTAAATCTCTCGCCTATAATGTTAACATCCAGATGTTAGTGACATTTTCTTATACAAATAAAAACATGCAGAACTGATTCATTTTCTTCACTTGTACAACTAGAAAATCTCCAAATGGTATCAGTTACTATAGTATCGAGGTTCACATTACCACACTTCAAAGCAACAACATCATTAAACAACCCAAAGTGATCGATGAAACAGTACAGAAATTAACAAGTAAAATTAACCTATTCATAGAAAGCAAATACACCATCTTCATGACAAGATAATTAGCTGATGTGTCGAAGTGAACACAAGTGTGAATCACACCATCAGCAATTTACAAATATTCACCGCTGTCATCTAATCAACCTTCAACTAAAAGAAATTACACTGCCTTCTTTCTATGCCGCATACTATTCCTTTTCCGTCTTTCGATTCTCTTCTTTCGCTAATTCTACTCACTACACATTATTCGTTTACCACTTATCCTAGTTAATTTTATCACCTAAGACCATATGAAATGCGAAGATTAGAGAAAGACGAGAACATTTTCACTGAGATTTCAATCACCTCACCCATGTTCAACACGGTTTCTGAGTATATCTTCAGTACACATACTTATCTCTTAAAACTAATGCTCTTCTCTATTCAACAACATTGTTATCAATAAGTCCTTTCATGTCTATAACCTTATATGTAAAGGTTTATTTGATTCACACATATAACTTGTCATGATAACACGTTGTGATTTCCGTAATAATATGAAACACAATAGGAAGATTACGAAACTTTTATGTCTCAAAAGTATTCATTTATTTATAGGATACGTAATGAACACATAAATAGTATATTGAACAAAAAACACTCCTTCAAGTATACTGAGAAAAGCTGTAGAAAGAAATGTCTGATAACTGGTAGGGTGTTGACCTAAGATTGGAATGTGTTCTGCGTACAACCATAACCTTGTCATAATCCCACTACTTTTATGAATAATAGTGGTAATAAACAACCTCTCCTGGTTAACTAGTTCACTAGTTACTAGCCGGTCCTAAGCCCGGTTAACAGGGAAGGTTAGGCGTAGGGCTACCAACCCTACCCAGTAAAACCAATCCAACCGCTAAACAAACTTCAAAGCACAAACAAAATATACAAAATAAAAGCAAACTTATTCCTCGCTGGAATCGGAGAGACAAAAGGACGCCGATTGGTGAAAGCTTTCTGGAAGCCAATTACCCGATGTGTCTTCTCTCCCTCGATGAAAGCAAAAGTAAACGTGGGGATACGGAAAGTCCGCACCATTTTTCAACCTAGCAAGACTGCCCAGATTGCAAACAAGATGAGAAGGCATCGCACTGAAGTGTTAGGAATTTGCGAAAGCAAGTGAAATGGAAGTGGACTCTCCAAACTGTCAAGTACAGAGTCAATAATCTACTACGATACTGTCACCCAGACGACAACCATGAGCACACCCAGTTTTGGAGTGGCTATCATGATGTCTCCCTCCCAAGAGCATCGAAGGCTCTCATACAGTGGGAACCAATCTCCTCCAGAATCATAACAGCAAGGTTCAACTCAAAAGGAAGGAAAGTCACAATCATTCAATGCTACACACCTACAGATATTCATCAACAACTACCCACGCTGGCTCATTACTGAAGATCAGATGGCCAGAATAATGAGAATAAGCAACAAGGAACTCTGGCCAGGCAACGAACCAACCAAGAACCTATCACTCAACAAATATACAGAAGGAAGTGGAGATGGACTGGGCATACACTGAGAAGGCCGAATGGGGAAATAACGCGCCAGGCCAGGCACTCGAGTGGAACACAGATGGGAAACGAAGAGTTGGGCGTCCGAGGTGAGGGTGATATGGAGGAGATCGTGAGAGGAAGAAATGAGAGCTTGTGAACTGTCGTGGAGCCAAGTTCAAAAGATTTCAGAGAACAGAATGCACTGAATACGTGCTACTGAAGCCCTAGATTCCACTAGGAACCCAAGGGACAAATAATAACAAAGTGATAATAAACAGAGACAGTGATTGGAATACTAGCTCATGCATACCATATTCATATTCCATCTCTTTCACAGTCTTTCATAACAGAGTACAACAATATTACACTGCTGTCGCTCGTTTTAGTATCACAATAATCGAAGAAATCATTGTATAGGATAAACAATATACAGACAAAAACAAACTATCACTTCAGCACCTGAGATAGACAGACAGACAGATAGAAAATCATAGTTGAACCTAGCACACAAATACATCGGTTCAACTTGCCACACTTCACAGTAGTATAACAAAGAACAGGTGAATAGAAAAAGAGTGATGTCAAAGTAGAAAAAGTTTTGTCCTAGAATAAACGATTTGAAGATAACAGTTAGTGCAAATATTAATGTGTAAGAAGATGTCAGTGGGTGAATATATCTGCACTACTGTGATCGATTTCCACCCACATCACCAACATTTCTCACTCAGTGATTCCTATCCCATCTTTGTTCTTAAGAAAAATGACATCTCAGTTACCTTTTAGTGCTAATCTACTAACTTACTCATAATAAAACACCATAAAATGAACTCAATGTGATAAATAGTGAAATGTTCCTGACCAGTTTATGAGATAATACCTGATGTTTTGCTTTTCTAGTTCGCTCAACATCTTCTACGTGGTTGCCCATCTATTTATCTGTCATGCTTTCCAGTTCTGAGTGATTATTAAAATAAGTAAGAGATCGCGCTAAACAATACTTAAAAAAATGGTTAATTATCAATGAGATTATCTGACCCTGGGATGTCGTTGGTCAGTTGGTAAAGCATTAGACCAGTAACCGTTAGGCCACCAGCTCGAATCCATCCAACACCTGGATTTTCAAATTTTCAATTCACTTTCAACTTTTATTCCTTATCGAAAATAGTTCAATTTATTTCTTACTACTCGTCAACATCTAACGAATTCATAGGAATTTGTTACGTTAAAGGATCATACAGTTTCACTGCTTATACAAGTGGTGATGTGAGTGAACAGAGAATATTCTTTTCGACAACTTCTTCTTCTTCTTCTTCAGCTCCTACAGTTACATGTGCATATTGAGAAATTATGCGTGAACAACATCAAGATTTCGACTATCAGTTTGTTGTTATCATCACTATACAGTTGGGGAAGTTAATTCAGAGAAGTTTAATGCTGGTAAATTACGAACTTCGTCTTCCATACGTCTAATGGTGACACTAAAACAGAAAGATGAATTATCTAGACTAACTAACTCATGTTATGCTCATCAGTTACGTCAGCAGTTTCAGATAGTCACATTTATCAACAAATTTTTTTGAACCGTTCTTCACCACTGCACATTCATGAATATCCACCAGTATCAAGGCATCCGTTAACAAGCCCATCTGCCAACAGAGGTCGAACGACTAGACCCTGTAGACTCACAGAAAATTACAAGTTTCATAACAACAACTTATACCCCTTGCACAACAGATGGCTCTCCTGCCCCAGCGGCTCAGTGGATAACGCTTTCGCATTTGAACCGATGGGTACTGGGTCCTACTCGCAGTGGGAACGACATCACTCAATCGGGGTGCAGGCAAATCCAACTGACAAGTCCCAAATAGGACGAAACACACGTCCTGCATTCTCCTGCTAGTCAGTCACCAATATCAATGCAACATCAGCAATAACATCATACTTACCGAATCCAATCTGTACAAATCCAGTTACAATAATCATAATAAGAGCAGCCAATTTCGCAAATGTGAATACATCCTGTATTCTAGTTGAAAACTTGATGGAAAAAGCGTTGACAAAACTCAAAAACGCTATTTATGAAGGATAAAAAAAGGAAAGAAAAAATAAATTCACTCAAGGTCACCAACAGTGAATGTCAGAATTGATGATGAATGTTTTATTCAAAATCTTCAGATTTAAAGTTCACTTCTAATAACATATGCATATATAATATATATATATACGCAAACTTTCCCTATATCACTTGCCTAAAGAGAGATCATGTGAAAACTAAAATTATCATAACCAGTTAACACGAATAAATTACCATTCGTACTAAAGCCTCAGTGCTGTAATGAATCTAGTAAAATTCAGGTTTAATGCACAGTTCAATGATAATAGAGGAAAATAAACTAGGAAAGCGGTTACAGTCACAGCTTTATTCACCGAAATTCTTTAAAAAAATAACCACAACCTAACCAACTAGATTAATCAACTTAGTAGAAATAGATGCCTGAAGGTGAAGTTAACTCGAATCTCTGTGGCTATCTAAATTATTATTCTATACAGTGTACTACACTTGTGTAATCTCAGCGTATTACATTACATCTCAGACGACATCGAAACGCTCACCAATAATCCAATATATATATTCGTTTTGTTATTCCCTTTAACAAGCTATGCCAGTATTACACAACTTGAGTATCTAGATATCCAAATTATGATGGGATTTGATAATTTGAAAGAATTTCGGTATCGGGTAAATGATATTCATCAGTTTGATATTTCTATTTCCCACTAACTTCATCAGTGTTAAAGTAAACCGAAATCTATAATATCCTAGCTTATATACATGATAACTAGATATATGTTCTTCTGCATGAATAATTTTGTGTTGTTAAATTGTTGAACAAAGATGACATATCCATATGCAGTGTGTTCTATATGAATTACAGATTCATTGAGATTTCTTGGTCCTTATCGCATGTATATCAGTCATCTCACTGACTGAGAACAGGTTGAGACCACGTCAAACTATCTTTTACTACCTCACTCCTATTTAGACAAATTTGATTCCACATCATCTAAAGAGATTCTGTTAGGAAACGTTCTTTACAATTTCTAGAAACTTTCTGAATAAAGTTATACTTTGTAGAGCTACGGCCGAAGTCTTTTCAAGATTTCTTAGGCTCCATTTCATTCCTAACGCGTCGCGTCAAACCTCTTTGATGTTCTTCTTTCCAATTTCGATTTCACAGGAAGTTTGTCTTACATATACACCATTACAGTCTCTACATTTCGTTTTATAAACACAATTAGATTGTGAATCAAGAGGGATCTTGTCCTTCAAATGAACTAAGGAGATCTTCAACGTGTTCGATGTTCTGTAGAAAACTCTGATACTGCATTTGTTCAGCACTCTCCTAATTCCATCCAATGTGAGTAATCAGTAACAGCTAACTATTATTGACAGCCATGATTTTAGAGTAGTTTTACGATCTAATTTATGTGAACGAGAGAAAACGTGCACCGAACAATAATCAAAGCTGGTTAGAAAGATAAGTAACATTCGTCCACGATATTTTCAACTGTTCACCTGATTTGTGTAGGAAAATATCGACTACTTGGCTAGTGTATGTGAGAAAACCAGTAGTGTGAATATGAGTGAAAACGGCTTAAAATTGATGGCAGTGGTACAGATGTGTCATTTAAATTCTTACTTCTTCATTATCCTTACTCTTTGATCACTCATTTTCTTTTACACCTTTCTACTACTTCTCCAGCCTGAATTGAACAGTTCAAGTCCCGCATTCGACGATGGTTTGTAACTTATAGGTAACGCTCTATATACAGCAGTGGACTTAGCTAAAGTCTATTGGCACACAGTAAGAGATGTTTTATACCATACAGCCTCGTAACATAGTTTAGTATTACTCAACAAGTATGGTGGTACAATAGCTTCTCAGTAGTCTCTTGGATCAACAAAATTCAGATGAAGTAGTCCACTGGGAGTAATCAACAAACCCGTTACCAGTTCACCGTGTAATAATGACGAGCGAAAAGCGTATAAAAAAGCAAAATTCAACTAATCCACCTGCCCAAAAGCTTCATTGGTTCACTAAAATAACGCTTCAGCCTGGTCTTGAAAAGTTTCCTCGATGATATACCACTGGACAACAAAGTGAGCGGAATCCTAACTCAATCTATTCAACTCTCGTCTTCTTTGGAAAAACTTTGGAAACAGGGTTAACCAGTTCCTCTAAGCATCACCGCACTTCAAGAATCCATGTCTAGCACACTACATCATTTTTTCAACAAAACACCAGATTCAAATAGAGACAGGATAGAATAGAAAAGCACATTGATTGAAATTATTTGCAAACTTCCACAACTGATAACTATCTGACACATTCGCTTACTCAGAGCAGTAATTCTAAACAAGATCAACGAATCATTGACAAGGTTGAAGGTCTACTTGTTGAATAAATATTCGCCTATCGAAAATTCCCTAAGTACAAATGTGTGCCAATACTTTCCATTAGCGATAACCTACAGCTCACACCTTGCGCTAAACAATAAACCTCAAATGTGCAAATTATGCGTTCGGTAATATCCTATTAACGGATACTTTAAAAAACCACCAATGAAATCACAGTCCCCAAACCATTTTGTCCTTTCAAAGTACAAACTGAAGTACATCCCAGTGTAAATTTTTCTTTAATGACGACGATTAGTAGGTAATCGGTATTCTATCTCTCAGTTTGGAGAAATACAATTGCCCACCTTGGCTTGATAACCACAAAACCGCTTAACAGAACTATTACTATCTGATTTTGTAAGAAATCTTCGGTTTCCCCAGAAGCCAATTATACTATAACTGTCATGTGCTACTCATGACTATTCTGTTACATACACGAAAGTAGGAATTCTCGTGCAGTAAAGTCCTGATCGGTGTACAACCATAGTAGGCATATGAAATAGATTCTCAAAGGGAGTTCAAACTGATTTTTATGAATATCAAGTTGCGTGAAGTAAAAGTAGTGTTGTTGAGGATGGAATTAGGTTATACTGCAAAGTTCAAGTTCTGTTCTACAATAAATAAGAAGACACTATATTTGTGAAACGGACTGATGGGAAGAATTGTACACTGACCGGTCACTGAAGAATAATCAGTTTCACGTTGTTTGTTTTCTAAGTACTGACCGAAGTCTACAAACCTTTCAGTAATGTGGAGACTCAGTATCATACTGGACTCGGACTACTGTTAGATGGGTGAAAGCAATCAGCAGGAAGACTAATAACTAGGTTTCATGCTTATTGGCACTCATCAGCAAGGCGCGTCAGCAAGCCGTATTAGAAGTCAACCGTGGTCCTAAGAACTCAGTGGGAACGCTCATTGGTAAAGTACTCGGTCATGTGGATTCGAATTTCACAGAGAATATCAGTTCTTACGAGACTGCAAATACACCTAGCTGACAGGTGCCAAAAGGCACAGAACCAAGTCCCAGGACTTCCTGTTGATTACCTCACACCAATATGAAAGACTTGCATTCAGCTCTCACGAACAACGCCCATATAACAAAAATCCATGGGCAGTCTCCAAGAGACTCAAACCGCCTTGAAATAATAAGTTGGACCATTCAGAAATTTAGTCTCAAGTGTTACTACTGACCCCCTTTTGCCATAACCAAACTTCTTGTGATTCTGACGCGTCAATGAGTATGCCACAAGATAGATGACATGACACTGTTCAAATTCCTAATGATCAATTTTCGTAATTTGGGTAAAATTACCACTATAGAACAAGTTAACCTGTTCGTTCAATAGTTAGTTCGGTGCATCGACTAAGTCAAATATAGTAATGTCTGAAACTATAAACTTACTTATACATAAAGCTGCTAATATACTGAGCAATAGCATAGGTATCTCACAGTTTGGATATACAGGTTGTAAAACGTACTCAGCAAACGTTAGAGCTACAACAGCAATAGATACAGGTCTTACAACCATTACTTCTACCCACAGTCGTAAAAAGCCAATAAATGGTCCAAACGCTTCGTAAACATAAATATAATCACCGCCAGATCGTTCAATTATTGTACCAAGTTCTGCATAGGAATATGCTCCAAGCATACTGAAGAGTCCACACGCAACCCATATAACAAGACTAGCTCCAATACTCTTGACATTCTTCAGTATTCCCGTAGGACTGACAAATATACCTGAGCCAATCATTGACCCAACTATGATAGTAATACTGGTTACAAGACCGATGGAACGCTGCAATTTTACTTCATTCTTTTTATCCACTACAATAACATTTTCAGAGTCTTCGGATGCTTCTGATTCTTTCGGCATGTCACTATAAAAAAGAGGGAATGAACAGTTAATTTATGTCGGTCTTAACTGATCAGATTAGTTGTCCCACTTAGCAACCTGCTCAATTTAAAATACATTTGAAACTATTCACTCTGATCTTCACTTTTATAAATTTACGTTTTTCATTGGCTTGACAACCAACAGGACAGAAATACTGAAAATCTATGCAAAAGTTAACTGATTCTCATTTCCCTTGTGCAGCACTCTGATAACACACACCCCTAATACCTTACCGTAAACAACAAGGGATATCTAAAGCTAACAGTAGGTAATCTTGAAGAGGGATCAATGTTCTCTATATACAGCGTTGCTAAATGTAAACTCACAATCTTTTCAATGTTGCTATTCTTAAGTGATCCACCAAGAGATATCAATAAATAGTGAAATGCAATCCCTTTACTCATAGGCATACCTGGTGAAAGAATTAAAACATGTTTTCATACCAACTAAACTATCTAATACCAAACTGGGAGTTCCGTATAATTATAATGGTGAATAATTCGCCAGAATCAATAGCCTACGGTTCGACGAGATTTAACAATGATGCTAACCTCCATAGTTTTGATGGACTGGCCGAGCTGAAGGAATGCGTTCAGGCATCTGTGCTACTTAGCACGCTGTCGTCTTACTTTGCGTTGCTTGTACACAAACATCTAAGCAGCTAGTCAAGCCGTCTCGGTATTTTGGCACAGCTCATCAAACATACTACCCCTAACTGGCTACGTTATTGTTCTCTTCCTTGGTCTTGTATTCATAGGTCGTCTATAGGTATGAAGAACTAGTGGTTTGTCTGTGCGTCAGTTGAGATCGCCTGAGGCCAACTTCTAAATGATGATTCGATCACACTCAATTTCCAGCTTTTTAGGGCATTCGTAACAAAAACAGACTCACTGATTGAAAACCTGATCAAACTATCGATCAAAAAGTTAATATCAAGTAATCCATAGTAGTTTTGCCCCATCTTAAGTCGCGTTGTACTTAACACCATGCAATGCTTCCTATTTCTTGATATACTAAAGTGTGAGTTTCTGTTACAAAGTCGTAAAAGATGAGGTGCATCTATTTCAGAAAATGACGAAACTGCTTGATACTCAACGATTTTTGACAACTCTTGACTTGATATGTACTTATGAAAACCATATTCTGTCAAGATATCAGACTGAACTAAAAATAAGGTTTAGATTTGAGCATTAAAATTCGACCTTTCAAATCATGTTTCACTACTTTTCATTAGGAAGGAATAAGTTTATGTCAGTCTACGAATCAAACCAACATTTATCTGCACTGTATGAGAATACATACTTTTGCAGTAGCTCATGATAGTGATAAATTGTTACTGGAGAACAGATTTAAAGGGTTAGAAATGGTAGAAAAGATTTGTAGCTTAGAATGAGAGTGGTGGTGGTTTGATGTCGTCTGAGCTTTGAAGTTAGTTATAGGGATGTCATTAAGATTGATGATGAAACGTCTACGGCAAAGTACCAAAGCTCAGAGAAAACTGAAACACCGTCATTTTATAAGGTTGATGTAGTAAATACAAATATAAGTCATCAGTTCAAACTATAGCTTAATATTCGAGTGCTTTCACTCTAGGTATTCAATAAGGTTCAAGTGTCTTTTTCACCTTAATTTGGTGCCAAACATATTTTTGTTTGCTCCTCTTCTCAGTGCTTTTACGAAGTATGTTTAATTGTGCCAACTTTTCACTATGTTTAGTTTGAAGTCATCTTTTTCAGTTCAACATATGGCCAAATTAATTCGAAAGACTGAACTTTATCTTTCGATCCCTGATGACCAGAAAAAACCTATCTAGTACTCACCCATTCAAAAAGACACATGTATTTATACGTTCCCACTGGTAAGAATGAATCTATCTGTCCTATTAATTCACATATTCTGAGTAGCAATTAATTGGATACATGAACTATTATTACAGTGAGGGAGTACAAATAGTGATAAGGATTTGTCTATAGCTTTCAGAATACCAGTGGAAGAATACAGCTTTCTTCAAAAGGAACCTAAGAAATTTAGGTTCTGGTGCATTGGTGTCTGTAAGTGTCTCATAAACCCATGTATGGGTTACGAGAGATCATGCAACTCAGTAGCTTACAACGACAGCAGACATGGTTCAGAATGAAAGCCAGTGGCGATGCTGCTGGAGGCTTTGTGTTTTTTCCATTACTGAGAAGTAAAACAAGGGCACCAATCGCGTCTTCGAATGTAACTCCGAGTGCTTCTTCAAAAACTCACCTCTGTTTTGTTTTGACCCCCTCTTCCATTGTCTATATCCTCACAGTATTGTTCTATTACTTTATATGATACACCTATTTGTGACCGTTTTGTACCGAATCTCCACTCTGACAATACTGATGATAAGCAGGAGAGGGATGACATTATACTAATCCTTCACATCTAAACCAGGACTCAACACGTCAAGACGTTTTATGAATCAACATACAGTGGAATGCAGATTTTTCATAGGATGTATAACAACTAGAACCTGCTACCACAACAGTTAGAAGCAATTACCTTGATGAATGGTTCCAAAAGGAAAGGAAAGTTTAGTGTAAATACATAAACATGTGCTAAAAGTAGTAGTAGAAGTAGAAGAAGAAGTAGAATAACCCATTATTAACTCAGAAGACGCTCTTAATCCCAAGCAAAAGGGGACAAACCCAGTTCCTATTAGTTCCTCTTTACTACCATTACAGCTGTAACGCACTTTAAATCACTCATGAGTTCCCAGGGAGCATAAAATTCACGAGCACTATACGTTAGTCCACACACAATATATGGTGGACCTCGTTTCAACTACAGGCTATAAGCAGCAAGTTTATGTGTGGGACATAAAATGAATTCTTCGAAATAAGTTTGAGGAAAGAGGCTGAAATGATTTATGCTCTCTAAAGGCTTCTTTATGAGGAGAGATTAGACACTGATTTATTCCGGATGTTTTGCTGAAGGTTCAGAGGAGTTGCCACATTGGCGAACCATGTACTAAGTGGTATTGCGGATTTTAACTTGTCATTCATACTTTTTGTCCTCACAACTAGTCATAAGAATGGAGATGTGCGAATAGTTCGGAAAACGCTGTTCAAACTATGTTGACATCTAAAACCATGTATTTCGCATCAGTTTGTGAGCTCGTGGCAATCTGTGCTGATACACACCATTCCAACTCTCCCCATTGTGGTTTCCAAAAGAAACTGAATCTCCACTCCGCTTAGGACAACAGCTGTAAATCCACTATATAACGATTCTATTTGATTTTATCCAGTAACAGTGCTATTTACTGCTAACAACCATATCTAAGTGAGCGACAGATTATAGAAACGTCATCCAGTAATTAATGCTGTATCATCAATTGCTGATTCAAACCAACTCGTTTATAAGAAGAGTTATAATCTAAACCAGTCCCTGAGTTGAATCTTTGCATTTGCAAAGGATAATTTAGGATCTTTATTTATTTCTGACGAGAGCAGTTAAAAAGTTTGTTTTTGAAGGACTCAGTGTATTACTTTTCATGCCTCTTCCACTAGAGAGTAGAAACAACGCTATCCATTTGCAACACAGGAGAATATATTTCCTCTTACGTGATGGATGATCATCTCCAAGACCGGGACAAGAGAATTCAAAAGTCATGGTTGAATCAACTTAGCCTGAGCCGACAGTTCTCACACAGAGTGGTCAGCCAATCAAACTCCTCACCCAAGAAGGTGGTGTCAGTTCTTCCGGTGGATGCATCCAAAAAGAATCAAAATTTTCACAAAGAAAAATACAACAAGGACTAACACAGGTTAAATTTGCTTAGTATTCTTATTAACGAAGACTGATATTTTCCTGTTCCCTAACAAACTTAAAAGCCCAAAAAGCAACGTTGAGATTCAAAAACGGTTCTTGTGACATGAAGAGTAAGTGGAATACTAGTTTTATGATGACCTACATTACTTAGACGTTGTTGGGATCCTGATTCACAATTAGTTAGACATGATAGGTTCAACTAAAACTAACACCTGAAGGTTTAATGCATAAAGGCAATGTTATATGAGTGTATTTCAATAGATGAAAAATCCTAACATAAAGAATTGTCGGTCAGAATAAAAATTACCAAGGCAATTAAGATGCATATATACCAATCGTCGGAAGAAAGTGACAGTGTAGTCTTCATTGTAATCAAAACTCTGACATTTTCTGTACACAGACTATCCATCTTACCTCAAAAGCTGATTCGCCGACTAAATGACGATCTCTGATTAAAAAAACGCCGAAATGTGAAGGGCACGCGATATAAATCAAATGTTTTAAAAAAGTGACAAATATATACAAACAAGTTGACATGTTAAACAAAACACATGCAATGCATTTATGACAAATCAAATATCCACTACCTGTTTTGAGGTCTTGTATAAGCCAGGTGATTTCTTCGAGCTCATTTATGGGCCTTGTAAAACGGTTTCAGATGGTCGATGGATTCCGTTACGGTAAACCTACCCTCTAAACTATCGTACATCTAGTAAAAGCGACGGGTAGATGCATGTTGGTTACATTAGCAGAGAGCCGTTCGATTTTCTCATGGGACTTTTGTGCAGGTGGGACCCTCTAATATCATATCACCAGCGAGTTGGCCGGACTGATCGCAAACAGAAGATAAGCGGTTGGGTGGTAAACAAGAGGAACGAAGGGGGGGAGTAGGAAAAACATGAGTAAAGGAGGGGGAATGGAGGGAAAGGGGGCAGTGATATGGAGAGCCTAGATGAATGAAGGGAAGTTGTAGGGCGTAGGGGGAGAGAAAGCAGCAGGAGGGAATACAGTAGGGATAATGCAGAGAGAAATCATGATGTCAGTATTGTCAAGGTAACTGGGGGGGGGGTATGAAGTATCACAGGGAGGCGTGAGGTTGAGTCGAACTCATGATATCAGCTGAAATGCAAAAGCGTCAGTGTGGAGTCAAGTTTCCTGGAATGACGTGAAACCAGGTG